AYYATAAGTAGATGACTTTAGGAAATTAGCCATGGAGTGGGGATTCTGAATGGTAATCTGTACCATCTGCATATCTCCATACGACTCTTTGATTATTTTTTGTAAGCTTAGATTTTTCAGTTCTATATAACAGACTAAGAGGTTTCTTTTAACAATGAATAATAGAATAATATTTTCTTTTCTTACAGAGATTGGAGAGAATTGTTGGCCTTTATTATGTTCTGAAAACAGAAAGAAATACAATACAAGGAAAACACTGATAAAATGAACTTGGCTGGATCTGCAGAGATGGGATCTGAGCAACGCTGCTACACGTGAGTGCTGCCTGAGCACACGGTTCAGTGCTCAATAGGGCTCCAAAACTAACAATAGGTGTAAGAGAAATTAATGAGGTGCTGAAAAACAGGGAGAGAGACAGCGATGGGCGATGGGCGGCTGAGAGCAATTGCCCATGAATATGTGGAGACAACTTTTCAAAACAGGTTGGAGCCAGTATTTTAGTGCGCAAGCCATGTAGTTCACACCAGATTTTCAAAGAATAATCACTGAAAGGAGGGCTCAGCTGCTGGCAGGCAGCCCTAGGGTCCAGCCACCACTGTGATCGCTTAAAGCTGGTTCTCTCTTGGCATTAACACCATCCAGATGATAGGTTTGAAATGGGATGTACTTAATGACCCCACCAAAGCAACTCATACCTGCCCCACTAAAGCAACTCATACCTGTCTTTTTTTTTTTTCTTTTTTTTGATCCTTGTAAAGAATAGCATTTTATGACAAACTAAGGTTTGACARACTAAGCCAGATAACAGCTACAGGTTCCAGGCTAACACCCACAGTTTATATATAATAAAGGCATATCAAGTTGAGCTTGTTATTTACAAGGGAAWAAAAACCCTCCACCCTCAAGCTCTAGTCAAGCAAGCAACAGTTAAATAACTATAGCAAGAATAGGAAATAGGTGGTCTGGCATATAAGATTAGTTGTTTATGACAGTTTGAATAACTTCTGGTAAATAACACTAAACCTTAGTTAATATTATTATCAGCCTTGCCATTCCTGGCAGTCACATATCTAGCTCTGTAAATTGTGCCATACCCTAGATTCTCAGGAATTCAAATATAAGCAGCTGACATTGAGTTAGATTTCATGTATGAAGATCTCACTGCAGATCAGAGAGACGTTCTGCTCTTTTAGGGAAGCTCTACTGCCTCTAGAAGATGAGCMTAAGATAGTGTTTTTTTAAAAAATCTCTCTTCTCAGATACATAAGTCATGTACCTGAAGGGCTAGATCAATAAAATCCTGTTGTTTCAGCTGCCAGTATCCCTTGGCGCTCTTTTTTCAGGCTCCTTACAGAAGTTAAACACACAGAGCTCATTGCTAATCAACTCTATGTTACGTRGAAGGCAGCTGTGGTCATTCCTCAAGCCCAGTACTGGCTCTTCTGTCCATCCCCAAATGCCCCTTCTTTATTGCAAAGCTCTGTACTGTTCTGCCCTGCCTATCTTTACTCATCATAATGATTCATTAGACAATTTCAGAATAAATCTGGAGTACATTATCCACCTTTGGAAAGGACGATAGTGGCTGCATCAATTTTTTTCACCATATGTAGAGTCAAGTGCCTACAACAAATGAAAAAGAGCTTCCAGCCAGAGGGCTTTTGAATTCTTTTCTATTTTGCAGTTTGCTATCTTCTGTCCCTTCAGCTCTCAAGTTTGAAAACCACATTTGGGGATYCACAGGCAACAGCTAAAACGTAAGTTCCTTGTCTAGTGTGATTCCACACATCAGTATTTATCACTAGTTCAGCAAACACCCCTTCTGYCTGCCTGGTGGCACAGAACTGTGAACGTGCCCTGCATCCCGATACGCACCTTCACCATTCATTGCAGGAGAAGCATCCTGAACAACTGTCACCGATCCATTTGTCATATTGGCAGGAGATTCTGATAGGGCCTGAAATGTCAAACAATATGGTGCTTAGCACTGGGTCCAGCAATTTCAAAGCACATGAGGGGCTTTGAAAACCACTAGCAGTGCTGTGCGTGGTCAGGAGAGACGAGAGCAGGCAGGTTTACCTGGTAGCTCTTGACTGTGCAGGTAGTGTCTTCTTCAACTTCTTGTGAGACACTCACTGTGTTYCCCATCCTGGCTGCAGGGAAGAAGAAAAAAAAAACACTCTTTCTCATTAATATGAACTTCCTGCCTAATTCAAATTAGGAGGTAGCAAATGATGACTGGCTGTTTTCTAATTCTTATTTCTAATAAGAATCTAATCAGCCCCACCTGCTTTCCCCAGAGCACCCTGATCAGCAGTCCAGGGCAAACACGCACAGGGCTCSTAGCTGCAGGCTGAACGTGGCACAGAATAACAAACCCTCATGGCTATTGAGGAAAACTGGATGTGATCACATCTGTATCATTAGATAGTAGATAGTAAAGGTACATGGAGTTAGCAGCCACAAGTACCATGCAGGATAAAGTAAAAACAAAACAAAGAGACAAAAAGTGAATTGCAACAATTTTTTGAAGGGGCTGTTATATATTTTTCTGTGTTTTCTGATAAAAGAAGAGAGAAAGGAGGTAATATGTAAGGAAATTATGCACCTAAACTCTGAAAATTAAGCCCTGTATATTAGGTGACTGTGTTTAACAAATCCTCGAGGAGACAAGCTCTCCTAGCCTGTGGCTTGGGAATACTTGGCCTGCCCTGGGCTCATTGTGCCTTTGGACTGCAAATTCTTTGGGCCAAACACATTCCCAATATAGTAGCAACATGGTTGAAGGGCAACCCTGGCTGAAGCCAAGAGGAAGGTTCCTGTTGACTTTGGCTCCAGATCTGTGTGTGCTGTTCAAGCTAAACAAACAAACAATAACGAGAGATTATTCCGAGCCACACCTTGGAAGAGGAAGGTCTCCAAAGGGAGGAACTGCAGCCAGCTCCAGGCTTAGCACTTACATTGTGAAATCTCCTTAGCAGATATGGTGGGTACCTCGAGCAGTCCAGCGTATTATCTCTTTGGTTTAAGTTGGCATGAATTAGTGAACCAGCAGAGGTACAGAAGAGAACAACTTCTTTTTGACCATTTTAATTAGACAGTCATTGACTATTGGAGAAAAGGAGGAAAAGAGCAGTTTTGCTAAACCCCACTCAGTAGAATCTGAATGTGGGAACTGAGAGGACCATCTCCTTCCAGTCAACATCCCCAGGTATCTGCTTCTCGTTCCTGTTTGCAGAGTTCAAGCTGGTTGTGTCTTTCTGCTAACCCCGCTCCACAAACCTTTGCTCTACAGCGATAGTGCAGACCTAGTTTCTGTTTTCTGCTGCATCCTAAGTGAGGGGAAATCCAAGCTGGGCCTCACTTCCAGGCTCCGTTATTGTTCTTTGCTGGTGCTGGCCTGGATGCTGAAGGGCCCCCACAGATCCTGAAACATGAACTGTCGTCACGAGCCGCCGAGAGCCGCTCAGTGGCCGCAGGACAGGGCCCCGATTTCAGAATGCAGAGCTCTTGCAGAGCGATTTTATCTTCTCAGCTGATATTTCCACCATAAATCAGAAGTTCTGATTTATGGTGGAAAACAGCCAACATTTCCCTGTGGATGTACAAAGGCCCCTTGTCCTTGCTGTGCAATTCTGTTACCTAGCAACATTAAGTATTATCCTATCGGAAAAGACAAAAACAAGATTCAAATCCCCCTGCTTAGTCGTGATGGTAATTTTAGTATCTAGTTGAATCTGGAGGATTTATTTTTGTTTTCCATTCACAAGACCTCCTGCTTTATGCCCGGAGACAGCTTAAGCAAGGATGGAATATTTGCAGGTTATGTGCTTCCTTTTTCTCATACACTGTAAAAGGGATGAGAGGCAGAGTTCCCATTTATTTTATTTCTACAATGATTTGTAGCCTGATTCTCAATTACTCCAGTTTCCTGGTGATGTAACTCTACCGATGTCAAGTAAGTTATTTTTAATACTTATATAGCAGAGATTGCAAGCTCTGATCTCTGGCATATTTTACTCTGGGTGAGATTAGCCATTTTCCAGCATCAAGTTTATAATTGTAATTGAAATAAAACACACACAGTGGTCGTGTGCAATTTCAACAGATTTTCACTCACCAGAACCCTGTCTCTCACAGAAATCTGGCAGAGGTAAAGCAGATTTGAAGGCTGTTTTAGCAAAAAGGCTGCAATTGTTACATAACCATCTCAGACTATGTGCCCAGAGTGCCAGGCACATTATTCCATCAGGCACATAAGTGAGGTCTCCTCAGGCATTTTTCCCTCTTGTAACAGTAATTAATTAATTATTGTGTATTGCAGCTGCCCATTTTAACATGCTCAGGGGAAAGTGGCCACATTAAGAAAGGGAAGAAGTCAGTTGCTGTTACTGGGTACAGTCAATGGCCCAGACTGTCTAATAAAATAAGGCAGATGTTTAGATGTGTGTTTCTGCTTTATTTTAAAGAAAAAAAATGAAAGGTCACTGCCACCTATAGACAAAACTGAGTATCAGCAAACATGATAACATAGAAAATGGTATCAAATTCTTTGAATTTCAGTTACACACACAAACAGCTGTTCATTTCTACCATTACATTTAGAAATTGTTGCTGCAGAGGCTCTTGCATCTGATTGATGTGAATCTAGATTTGCCTGTAAGAGTTCTGCTCGTACTGTCATTAAATGAAACAGTTATGTTTTTCCCAAAATCTCCAGGCCTCTAATTCATAGGAATTAATCCATTTTTCTCTCTGTTGGGACACTTTTCCAGGTCTGTAGCAGAAGTTTAGCTTCAATCTAAGGCAATGTGCTTGAAGTCAGTTATTAAATATGGAGCCAAGAAGATTTTAGGAAAAATAAGACGGGTTCCCAATGCTAACTCAGGTTATATGTATAGTGCTATGGATTTGCTCCTCCTCCTGTGGGGATCCCAGCCTCTGTTTAGCAGGACTAGTCCTGCAGCAGGTTTTCTTTAAAACTGTCCAGCATTTCCCCATACCAGAGACTTAGAATAAGTGTGGGAGGCCATGAGCATGGTCACTTGATAAGATGCAGCTTGGAAATGGAGCTGAGCGCTGATGAAGCTGTCCCTGGAACTTGTCTTACACTCTACAGCCCCCGCAAGGCTCTCGCTTGGCAGCTTTTTTTTTTTTTTTTTTTTTTTTTTTTTTTCCCACTAGCACCTTTACAAAGGCCACCATCTCTGGCTGAGCATCTCTCAGGATGTGGCAACCTTCCTGTTTCCCGTGGGCAGGAGTCGGACGGCGTCAGTCGCCGTCTGAGACCTCTCTGCAGCCCCGAGTGCTGCACAGTCTCCTAGGTGCTGACTTGGTCTCTTGGACGGATGATTTTGGTGTAGGACAGCTGTTGATAATGGTTAYTTATTAGTGCTACAACCACCAGGCAGGAGCTATTTGTTCCTACATCCTGTGTCTGAAAAACACCATTCTAAGCTGTGAATATGAAGCAGACCTTTAGCCGGGCCAGGGAGGATGCTGGCAATGCTTCTATTTTATGAGAGGAGGTTTGACAACTTTTATAGAGACAGGAAAACTCCCAGCAATTGGAAGGGGAAAAGAGATGATCCTGACGCAAGAATATCTTTTAAAAATGAAAAGAAAGTCCTTAGAATTGGCGAAGATGAAGGGTAAATCTGTTCTCATCCTTTGGCTTCCTTTCTAGATACAGATTTTTTTATTAAGTTTCAGGGATATTATCCATGTGGGGGACTCATTTAAGCCACCTGGAATGCTGTCTAACTGGTTTAAAAGGGAACAGGCACTACCAGCCTCCAGATCAGACACAGCTCTTAAACAGTCCCTTTTCCAGATTATGCTCCACTGCTTCTATTGTAATGAAGAAAAGAAACCAAAAGAAATTTTTTTGGGGGGTTAGTCTCTGTTTGTTTGCTTTATGTTACATGAACCATAGTGTTCCACCAGGCTTCATAAATTTCTTTCCCTCACGCTCAAAAATCATTGGTTTTGTCCTGACAAAGTGATAAAAGTTTTCACAGGTTGAAAGCTAAATGAGAAAATTAAAACAAAACCTGTGCTCTGCTTTGTATTCTAGCTGAAGCCAGATGAACTTGCCCTATTATGGTATCGACCAGCCTAGAACATTACAATTGTCTGTGTCACAGCATCTATTGATATTAAAAAGTACACGTGGATTCTGTTAATGCCTCTAAAACTTGCCATATGTTTTACTGAATTGCCAGAAGAGGAAAAAAAAATCAACTTCACTTAGTTCTCTCTGTATCTCATTTTTTTATAGATAGGTGCCCTCTATAAATGTTGGATAAAGCTGTAAATAGCCTGGGATATATGTGATAAGCAGAGGAGCGACCTAGCATGCAGCAAGCACCATGCAGGGCAGCTGCAGGCAAGGACTGGAGCCTGAGCTCCTGGTACCTCCCTGGCCTCCATCCTGCATCCCGCTGCGCAGGTGTCTGCCAGTGGTCCTGCTCTCACTGCTTGTTTTAGAAAGGGTTTGAGAAACCCGCCCTACCCACCCTCAGTGCAGCTCTGGATTACTCTTGGGCATCAGATGCATGAGGGAAATGATTGCAACCAGCACCAAGCACATCCGAGCGGCATCACTGGCCAAGCAAGTGGAAGGGATAGACTTCAAACACCAAGTACAGTGTGGCAGAGAAGGGACAGGAGAAGGAAGGATCGAAATGACTCACTCACAGCAAACAAGAAACACCCAAGAACAGTCTGAACAGCAACTATGCTGCTAGCTGCGCATTCGGGGCATGCAATATTAGAGTCATTAAGGCTTTACAGATCATTTTTAATACAATTCTCTCAGCTATTCTCTATTGTAGTCAAATGAGAAAGATAAAATAATTCAAACATTCACACCCTGAGCTTTCAGGGAGGGAGCAGTTCTACAGTGTCACAAACGCCAGCGATCGTGCCTCGGTTTGTGGAAGCAACCAGCAGAAAGCAGATCTTTATATTCTTCTGACCATTTGCAGAAAAGAGCAGTGCACAGAAATGGGAAACTTAACAGCAGGTACTTTCAAGAACAAACACAAAATAAACGCTTTTAAAAGCCAACCACCTGGTAGGTACTCCCAAGATCCAAACCGAAGCATAAGACAGAAATAGCACCACGAGGAAGAATAAAAGCAGAC